GCTTCCCATCATGAGAAAGTGGAAAAAATGTCAGAAATGGGAGAATTTTGAGAATTTTTGATCAAAGCATGGATTGAAATCCTTCCCTGCTCCAATTCCAGCTTGGCCCTGGGTGCCTTCAGCTGGGACTGGGAGGTAAATTCTGCAGGAATGTGGTTGGAATTGCTGCGTTAGTCAGAAATAATTCAGGTCCTGAACGCATTTCTGGGAAAAAAAAATTGTTCAGGGGTGGTTTTTGTTATGGTGGTAGCAAGGAAATAGGAATTTCTGCTGAAAACACGAGTACTTGGAGTAAATAAAAGTGTTTGTTTTGGTTATTCCATGGTGTTAGCAGGGAAAAAAATGTTCAGGGGTGGTTTTTGTTATGGAAAAATGGGAAATGGGAATTTCTGCTGAAAATGGAAGGTGTTTTGAGTAAATAAATGGGTTTGATTTGGCCATTCCAGGATGGTAGCAGGGAAATGGGAATTCCTGCTGAAAACCAAAGGTGCTTTGAGTAAATAAATGGGTTTGATCTGGCTGTTACGGTGGCAGGGAAATAGAAATTCCTGCTGAAAATAGAAGGTGTTTTGAGTAAATGGAAGTGTTTGATTTCTTCCACAATGGTAGCAGGGAAATAGGAATTCCTGCTGAAAATGGAAAATATTTTGAGTAAATAAATGGGTTTGATTTGGCTATTCCATGGTGGTAGCAGGGAAATAGGAATTTCTGTTGAAAACCCGAGCACTTGGATGATGGTAGCAGGGAAATAGAAATTCCTGCTGAAAAATAGAAGGTATTTTGAGTAAATAATTCTTTTTTATTTGGCCATTCCATGGTGGTAGCAGGGAAATGGGAATTCCTGCTGAAAACCAAAGGTGCTTGGAGTAAATAAAAGTGTTTTGATTTCTTCCATGATGGTAGTGGGAATTCCTGCTGAAAACCCAAGGTGTTTTGAGTAAATAAATGGGTTTGATTTGGCTATTCCATGGTGGTAGCAGGGAAGTGGGAATTCCTGCTGAAAATAGAAGGTATTTTGAATAAATAAATGTGTTTGATTTGGCTATTCCATGGTGGTAGCAGGGAAATAGGAATTCCTGTTGAAAACCCGAGCACTTGGATGATGGTAGCAGGGAAATAGGAATTCCTGCTGAAAATAGAAGGTGCTTGGAGTAAATAAAAGTGTTTTGATTTCTTCCATGATGGTAGTGGGAAATGGGAATTCCTGCTGAAAACCCAAGCACTTGAAGTAAATAAATGGGTTTGATTTGGCTATTCCATGATGGTAGCAGAGAAATACGAATTCCTGTTGAAAACCCGAGTACTTGGATGATGGTAGCAAGGAAATAGGAATTCTGACTGAAAATAGAAGGTGTTTTGAGTAAATAATTCTTTTTGATTTCATATTCCTTGGTGGTAGCAGGGAAATGGGAATTCATGCTGAAAATAGAAGGTATTTTGAATAAATAAATGTGTTTGGTTTGACCGTTCCATGCCCGGCACACACAGAGCTCCCCGGAAAAGACCCAACATTTCAGCAGCAGAGAATTCCAGGAGCTCTGAGCCACAAACCCCTCCTTTTCCCACAGAAAACTATCGAATGAAGAGCTACAAGAACAAAGCCCTAAACCCCGAGGAAATGCGTCGCAGGAGGGAAGAGGAAGGGATTCAACTGCGCAAACAGAAACGAGAGCAACAGGTAACTGTCACCTTGAATAGATTGTGTC